TATATTTGAAAAAAAAATCATCAAAATCGGACTATAAACACAGATTTTATGGAGGGTGCCCGGTCTTGAGTGGGTCACACTGTATATAGTAAATTCATTTTTTTATGTTTTTTTTTACAAAATTTTCTTTACGAAGTTCTATATCTAGAATCTTTCACCCTAAAACTAAAATATGCGTCCCCATATCTGTCGCAAATATCGGAATTTACGATTGGGTCAAAATAACAGCGACCTTTCATTAAAAGCAAGTCAAGAGAGGGTTATTTATGTATTTACAATATTTATGGCCGAAGAAATCTGGACCGTAACAATATTTTTATCCGAAGCCAGCCGTATATCTCACGTTTTCGTATATTTGCTGTTTAGAAGCGGTTTTTTTAAAAGTCAGAAAGATTAAAATACTCTTTTATTAAATTTAAGAATTAATAAAAGATTAGAGTCTGTAAAACAAAAACAAAAAAAATCTTTCATTGCCTTCATTTAGGGTTACCAGACGACCGGATTAATCCGGACATGTCCGGATTTTGATAAGCTTTTCATAAGCGTCAGGATTTTAATGTTCCATTAAGAAATGTCGCAATAATGCAAAATAATATATGAGTTTTAGTAAATCTAGTTACTTAAAAAATCGTCGATAAATTCAGCAGTCTGAATTCATTGTTTTATTTTGTAAGTTTTAAGTTTGAAAAGTTCCCAAGCAGCATTTGGACGTCGGGACAACGTTGTGTCACGCGACCAAACGTCGGGGCGCAACGTCGGCACAACCTCGTGCCAACCCTAGTCTGCACTAGTTTGGAGAATAATTTTTGGGTCGAAACGACGTTGGATACCGACGTTGGCTAGAAGCCTAATTTAGTACAAACTGCAACGTTGTTTAAAATCTAATTCACAGAAATACAAAACTAATATGGCGTCTAAGTCGCGTTTTATCCTAAATTGGGATAATTATAGTAAAAATATTATTTTTATGATTTAGTTAGAGACATATGTCAGATGGCAGTGAAGGAAAACAAAACAAAAGTATTTAAGTGTGGAGGATGTTTGAAGATCATAATTATTGAAACACTTTAACCGACTCTGTAACTTGTTACCCAAGGCAAAAAAGTTAAACGCAAACAACTTTATTGATAAATGTATTGTTTCTACTTTGAAAAATACTAATGGGCCTTGAAATTAAAGAAGTTTTAAAAACTTTCTTGAATTTCTTTTTTTTAGTAAAATGAAAATAATTTATTCGCAGTCGAAAAATTGTTTCCGCGTGTTTTTAGGGTCAAATATTTCAAGTTAATGTATTCAAAAAGCAGGAATTGCTATTTTAGGAACGAAACATTTTCTTATTTAACAACATGGCGGCTTTCACTTTGTTGTTTTGGAGATTAAGATGGAGTAGTTCGAGTAGTTCGATACTGGACTAATAAAGTCGCAGTTCGGCCTTAACAGGTAGTATACTAGTCGCAAGATTGCCTAATTTAGTCATCCTAGAGTCTAGCTTGTGCCGCCCTCTATAATCTAAATAAACGAGGGAGTGGATAAACTATCGGTAATATATGTCGATGTATATTTAAATTTAATTTTATATGTACCTTTCTTATGTCCCATTTTAATTAAGTTTTTTTTTTTATAAAAACAAAAACAGCACTGAACTGTCTGACTGAACAGAACAATGAAGTGAAAATTTATGATTTAAGGTTAAGGTTCAATACAGTTGCAAAAAGGTAGCGACTCGACGTCCTACCAACGTAAGAATAAGGAAATCTAAACAACGTTGGAATTAGTAAAACAGACGACGTTTGCATAACGTTGGAATAGGTCCTGAAACTGACGTCGGAAAACTCTATATTGTCCAACGTTGTAACTACGTTGTCCGAATCACCTAAAGGTTACTTAAGCAAAAAAGGTTACAAGACAACGTTTATTCGACGTCGCAGAAGCTTCTACTTTGCTATAGTACTAGTCCAACGTCGGCACAACGTTATAAAAACGTTTAAATTTATTTTAATACCCAAGGTAGGGAGCTAACTATTTTTTGTAACTAATCCAACGTTGTGTTAAGTAAACATGTGGTCGCAAGTCGTGAAAATGCTACTTGGGTTATAAATGTTTTTTTTTTTCAAAACGTCACAAAAGTATTAATTTTTGCGACGTGATTGTCAATATAAAAAAGTAATTTTAACGCCTAGACATAAAAGTACGAAAATATAATTATTAAACTGAGATAAAGCGTCAAATTCAACGAGCGTAACCATAGTTTCTCGATATATGTATAATCCCAGTGAGCAAAGTTTTGTCATATTTAGGGAACAGTTACACATCTGTCTTTTACTCATTTTTATGAGGCAAAAGAAGGGTAACGTAACAACATCACCTAGAACAAATTTCCCTTAAAGGAATAAAATGCTCACTGGGATTACTTACAAGGTATTACTTTTAAATATTGTTATGTTATATGGAACGTTTGAAATTGCGATTTAAAAAATAGCATATTATTGAACGTGCAATTTATGCTAGCCATTAGCTTGCTAACCATACTTTATGCTAACCATATTTGCGCCCCTCGCCTACGGCTCGTGACGCAAACGTCACCCGCGTGAATAATGGCTATAAATTGCGAGTTGAATACTATACTTTGTCCACGGCCATTATAATAATTATGAGGAGTGTTTGAATTTGTATTTTTAATGTTAGTCTTACAATTAATTATTGTATACATGTTTTAGGGGAAAATGTCACTACCTACTTAAAATTTGGCAATATTTCAAACGTCAAAATTAACTAAAAGATAATAATAAAAAATCGGTAAAAAAACTTTTAAGTTAAACGGTTTTATCTTATGTGCACTGAAAACTAAAAAAAACTGAACTGAGAAAATTTCTGAACTAAAACTTCTAGTTCAGAAATATTTTAGTACTAGGCAGAATAGCTTTTAGGCATATTAGACTAAAATAAAAACGTGGGACCCATTAACTATTGCTGTAATACTTTCTTCTATACTAAGTGTGGATTGCATCGACTTACTATAATCGTAACTGGAGATTTTGACAATCAATAACCAGCCGTGGCGGCTTCACCAGCGAACGCCGAGCTCATGATCTACCAAAGTATAAAGATATGCTTTGCCATAGGTAGGATTTCAGAGGGGCCCCACGTTTTTATTTTAGTCTGATATGCCTAAAAGCTATTCTGCCTAGTACTAAAATATTTCTGAACTAGAAGTTCAAAATACCTAATTGTTATTATTATTTTCTAGTTTTCAGTGCACATAAGATAAAACCGTTTAACTTTTTAAAGTTTTTTTACCGATTTTTTATTTTCTAGTTTTTAGTATTTAACCGAAATGCCTACCGAATATTCCTCATTCTATTTAATTCATTTAGTGCATCATTATTACATGTTTTTTTACCTGATAATTTATTTTTGCTTGTTTTTTTATTTATTGTTTCCATGTTGTTCCCACGAGTAATGGACATTTTAACGGTCGACCCCCCCCAGAGGTCCAGTAGAGGGGCAAGGCTATAATATACAACAAGAGGCGCCCAATCTTGAGGGGAAAACGCTTGCGACATTACATTTTTAGCCACCCTAATGCCATACAGTCCTCAGCACGTTTTAACCTATTACCTTAACTTGGGTGGTAAAGCTACCGCTAACTACGTAGGTACATCTAATCACCTATTTTTTTTTATCTGTCCTTCTAACGTCACACAATCTTGGACAAAACTGTTCTGGACACGACTACTCATGCCTTCACCTAATACGCCATTTTGTAACGACGTCCATCTTGGATTTTAAATTTTGTCATAACCACAGTATTCTACTAGTGTAGCCCTTTCATTTGATACCCATATTGAGGGGGTTGTGGAAAAATATGAAATCCGCCATTTTGTACCGGCGGCCATCTTAGATTTACAATGTTATTGATATTATTATATTGTATTGTCATCGGTGTGTACCAAATTTCAGATCAATCTGACAACAGGAAGGTACTTAAATTTCAATTTCTAATTTTGACCCAAATAAATAAATACCGTACGAGTCGAGCTAAATAAAACCGTTTAAAAACGTCAATATCATCAGTGTATTAGTACTTTTTTCTACCATCTTTAGTAAAATAAATTTGTTGAAAAATTATGGATCGTACCACCAGCAGCTGACTTTTTGTTGTATTGTGTAACTAAAGTTGGTAATTTGTGTTTTATTTATCGTTATATATGTATTTGAATTTTATTGATGCTGCTTCAAGTTTTTTGCAACAAAACATACTTCTACCAACTTTAGTTGAGTACAGTTGTTGGAGAACGATAAATTGGAGTACCAGCATCTGACTTTTTGTTGTTTTGTGTAACTAAAGTTGGTAAATTGTGTCTTATTTAAAGTTATATATGTATTTGAATTTCATTGATATTATTTCAAGTTCTTTGCATGAAAATATCGTACCAACAGTCTTTAGTCAATCAAGAGATTGATTTTTGTTCCGTTACAATGGCAATTAAATATACTAATAATGGAAATCGAATTTATGCCTTTAGCAATCCTCCAGTCTAGAAAGTTTTTGTAGGTAGACATGTAATGATCCTTAGCCTTTTGTGGTAGCAATCCAAGACTTGTTAATTTGGCCGCCTCTGCTATCTCTGGTGGTGTACAGGGCTCATTATCACTCTCATAATTCATTTTTTGATTTTAAACGAGTTCTTGATATGCCACTTAATAATCACTACCCAGGGGCGGATACAGGAATTTATTTTAGGGGGGGGGGCAAATAAAAAATAATATAGAATATGCTTTTTAGGGCGCTATTTTTAACCCAAAAGCCTAATATTTACCCAATTTATGGATTTTAGGGGGGGCCCGGGCACTATGGCCCCCCCCCCTATGTGTCCGCCACTGTCACTACCTACTTAACATTTGACAATTTTAAACGTCAAAATTAATAAAAAGAAAAGAAAAACGTCAAATCATATACGCCTATTTTAAAAAAAAAATTATTAATAAAAATATATGTATAGTTTGGTATTTTGGATTTATTTCACTCTTTATTACTAATTTTTTTTACAAAATTAATCAATAATATTATTTAGTATCTACTATAACAAAATAATTATACTATTTACTTTGAATTTTATTTTAAAATTTTTTTAAACAATTTACATAATCAAATTAAAATAAATTAGTTGATTTTTTAACTATTGTGGTATTTTCGAAAAACCCTAATTCATTTAAGGTGTTGTAGACGTTTGAATTTAACGTTTCACTATATCTCCATATCGATGAGTCTAAAACTATGTCTTTTAGTAACTCGTCACATTCCTTTTTCGTTGCACTATCGCAGCTAGACCTACATAAACAAAAACAATATATTATTAGTAATAATATAAAGATAGTACCTATAAATAATATATCCGATAAATTTTGTATTAAAACATACTTTTGATATTCTGATACTACTAGAATAGTTATCAAAACATTCTTTCAATTCATTAGAAAATTATTTTGATGCACAGCGGTCTATTTTTTAAATTTTCTGTCGCTTCAGTGTATAGTGTGAGTAAAAATAATAAAGTCTTTTGCTCGATTATACGGGGTGTCAAAGAAATAGTTTATCGATTTTCGGTGGCTGATTCTACAGATAAAAATACAACAAGTTCCTATGAATATATACCCTAAATTGTTTGCGGAAAACCAACGTACTGCCATCGAAAGGGTAAACAAAAATACTAGTTTTACTAGTTCTCTATTTTTAAGAATACTAGTAAACCGTTTTTCTTGAAATTTGGTACTTTTACACACGTTTTATTGCCAAAGCCGAATAGGGATAGTGTAAAATTTTGAAATACTTTAAATACAAAAAATGTTCATTTTTTAATTCTCCATCAAACACAAAAATAATATACAGGGTGTTCCATTTAAAAAAAAACGACGAAAAATTATTTTATATTTTTGAAAGTTTGGCGTAAAATATTGAACATCCTGTATGATTTACGATTACCATATTTATAGCAAAGTAAGAATAGACCATCTAAAGTAAATACCTAATATAGTTTTGATTTCAGAACAGTTCTTGTATTTTTAATATTTTTTTTAAGAAGGGCTGAAAAATATATATTTTTGATTTATTTTTTAATATCTCTGAAACTATCGAAATATATTTATTTATATCTTAGGTGTACGTAAAGTGATCTGAAAGGAATCCAAAAATGCAATAATATACAGGGTGTTCTATTTAAAAAAAATCATCCAGGTCCACTCACAGTTTTTTGAGCCACCATATAGAAGTTAAAATATTTTCCTGAAATACATCCTGGTACATACTTTAGGTTTGCACTAAAACAAAATTCTCAAGTATTTTATTCTAGGAGCTACAGATACCCGACGCACTATTGCCGGACCCTGTATATGTCCCTAGTGAATTGATCAAAGCTATTTTAGCATTAAAATATGTAACACTTACAGTAACTTTTATCCTCCAAATTTCATTCGAATTACTTGGAAGAAAATTATAATAAATCGAAAAAAAAAGAAAATTTTAACCTCCTGTAGCTAGGAAACAAAGCAGAATCGAACCCGTGTTGATATAAAAAATAAATCTTATTTTTATGCGAGAAATTTCCCGACAAGGGATGGCACATATTTCTTGAAACACCCTGTATGTACGCGACTACTTTAATAAAATTACCTATAATGATTCAACTGGGCATCTTCTACTCTTATGTCGAAATTTCTACAGCCGTCGAGACATTCAATGGGATGATGATTGTGAAGCGATAGGACATGTTCGGTGCTGAAAAATGCCTTAGCATAGGACCCTGGGCGCGTGTGTTTTCTCGATCTGTAGACATGTTGCATCATGTGCATGTATGTTGGGATTTCTGTAAAGTACCTACAAATATAAGTTAAATAATGAATAATTATTTATTTGTTAAATATATAGTTTCCAATAATAAATAGAAAATACTTTAAAATAAAAAAAAGTCAGGCCAGACCATAGACTTAAAATAAAATATAGACTACACTATTTACATCTCAACGCGGACAGACAATATTTTTTGTACACATGTTTACTTCTGGGTACAGTCGACCGAGCCTTCCTCATCCAGCCTATGTTGTCACGTCTTTAATATTATCAATATTTTATTCCTTGTTATACACATATATTGAGATATTAATATTACAGTTAATGAAGTAGGTTTTAATATTCAAGAGATATGTATTAAATAGTCCTTATACTACTAAATTATAAGTCGGATACTGTTTAAAAAGGATAAGTTTTTTACAATATGACAACACCGATTAGAGGCGAGGGAGCCTATTCATTCATTTATTACCTTGTAGTACGTGTCGCACGTGTGCGGTAAAGCTTTGTTGCCGCTATCTCCCCGGCTGTATTAACGCATTTTCTTAGCTTGTAGTCCTTAAGTGTTTATTTTATTGACTTTTTCTGTTCAAGAACTATAAAATATGGTTCGCCAGTGCCAAATTTGCAAGAAATTTGACTTAAATAATCCATTTAAGTCTTGAAACGACTTTTGACCGGTAGGCAACTCTCAATTTACCCATTGAGAGTCAGTGGCGTTGTTGTAGAAAGGCGCTTATTTAGATAATATTTTAGTAAAATGTAAAATCTGATTTTTTTCTCTTACATTACATTATTTACTTATTTACATTGTAACAAAATCATAATTATAACCCTGTTAATAATTAATAATGTTTTTATTAAAAATATATTCCGGTTTATTCTAAAATTATCTTCAGAATCTAAAATAACATACAAGAATTTTAAAATGATATTACATTATGAAACAATATTTTTTAATATACCGGGTCGTCTCAAAAGTGGCTCACCCCTATAACTTTTTTCTTTTTTCAGATAAAAAAAAACAGATTTGTATGTTAGTAGGTATACGACATAAATTAGGATTTATTGGACGTATTTAAATGTTTTTGGTCTCTTCCTGTTTCACCGAAATAATTACATCTTTTGATTTTTAAAGGCACCCTCGGTATATTGCTACTTTATTCGATAAAAAATGATACTCTGAATAGAATGACATATCATATGTCAACTTTTGACATTGTCGCTTAAAAACAAATCCTATTTTAAATTTCAATCCAGGGTGCCATGATTTTGTTAAAAACACTAAGTTTTAATCAAGGAGCCTTGGAAAAATAGTTTTGATCGTCTAATGGGTTTCGTGTCTTGTCTAGGCCGGTTAAAAGATGTACAAATCGTATTTTTTATCATACATATGTCAATTTTTTCAAATGGAACAAGGGTGACTCATTAGCATATTTTGAAAAAGCATTTTTTATGAATATATTGATACCACACACTTGGTATTTCGAGTCAAATTGTCGTTATGAACCGCGTGTTACAATTACAATTAAACCATATGCGAGAATGTCAAAAGTTGACATATGATATGTCATTCTATTCAGAGTGTCATTTTCTATCGAATAAAGTAGAAATATACCAAGGGTGCCGTTTAAAAATTAAAAGTTATAATCATTTTCGGTGAAACAGGAAGTGACCAAAAACAATTGAATGCGTCAATCAATCCTAATTTATGTCATGTACTAACATACTAAATCTTGTTTTTTTATTTGAAAATATAAAAAATTATGGGGATGAGCCACTTTTGGGACGCACCCGGTATATAGTAAAGACAGTACCGAGTTAAATAAATGTAGTTTTCATTTTATCCACTTCCTATCACCTTCCTTGCTTTAATGGAACAAATTTATGTTTTCTCTAATTTACATAAGACATCACTTAACCAGAAAAAAAATTACAACAATCATATTTTTTTTCTCTCCCTGTCGCCGATTCTATTATATCTGTGGAATAGATCGTGTTTTGATTAATATTAGGGGTTGTAAATGTTTGACTAAAATTAATAATTTATTATTAATTTCAAAAATTACGTAATTTCGATTATAAAATTTCTTCTATAAGGTGTATTTTATTATTTTTTATCCTTTTTGGACTCTAAGACGTTTTTTCTAAACTTTTATTTAAAAAACCTGTCCTAAATCTTAATAAAATATAAAAAAGTTTAAATACGATATATTTTTAATTTAATTATAGCTTCATTAAAATAAAAAAATTACCCGGCTATGATACGGAGAGTTCAGGTGTACTTGAGAAACGAAAGACAGTGTTGTGTTTCTCGGCAGAGTCGTCAGGGAACGACCGTTACAACAGAGACAACCTATCTATCGCTCGTGTCGCACTCGTTATAACCTAAAACAATAACACAACAATAACAAGACATTGTCTGACCGCATGTTCCAGCTATTTATGAATGAGATGCTCAGTCTATATTTTATTTTAAGTCTATGGGCCAGACAAAGTGAAGATCCAGGATAGAGGCCTTTACTGTGTTTGTTACGGTAGGTACGTAGGGCAAGCCGTACAGTCTGTAGCCACACCCTGACGGGATCTTCCCACGCACCTATCCCCCATTACAGACACACAATATAAAACTAGACCTTATAATTGGTCAAAGTCTGGTCGTTACAATGTCAAAAAACAAAAAAATAAAAACAACATTCAAAAATATTTAGCTAGTTTATAGTAAATATCAATGACCTCTAAATAAATTTATTTTGATGTCATTAGTAAATATAGCAATAGCAAACATTAGACCAGTGTTTACAAGATCAAATTCGATTTTCAAAATATAATTCATTTTTATTTTATGAATTGTATTTTTCAAAATACAATTCATAATAAAGTCAGACCTTAGTAAATTTTCAATAAAAGAAGATCATCATTGTTGAAGAATATCACTATCATTGTTGGTCGTACCGTATGAGTAATCAATCGATGTTATTTAGGTATTTACTTTATATGAACCGATTTAAAAAAATACAAATCGTATGGTATTGGCGTTCTATTTTTTATTACAAATTTTAGTTCGGTTGTAATGACACCACTATTTCACATAAAACTCACCCGTGCGAATCCAAAAAATAATCCAAAAAGAATGTATTTTGGACAGTAAGAGTTGAAGGATCATTGTTAAATTTTATACGCGCCTCTGGAAGAACTTTTTCAATAAGACTGGACCAATTCATTGCTTTGATTGGCATTATAACCTAAGAAAAATACTTGCTTAAATCATAGGTTCAAAAAAATATACAGGGCGAGTGTTAAATAAGTGCAAATATATTTAGGTGGTATATTTCGACCCCAAGAACAAGTCCGCCTTAATCCGTATAAGTTTTTTTTTCGAAAAGATGTTGAAAATTTTGCATTTTCTTTTAAATGTTCCTATATATTTTAGAAAACGTTTTAGAACTGCTTGTTCACCGAAAATTTTTCCAAAGGGATAATTTGTTATTCTCTGATATTAGCATGGTTACGGCACTAAAAGTAGAAAAAAAAAACGTAGTAAAAATAAAAAATCGTGAACCTTTCGGGGCGGAGTCAAAAATATCGATTATTTTCGTTATTTTCCTTAGAGTAATGTAATAATATAGTCCGGGTTTCTGCGAACTTTAATAATGATCAGCTGATTAAGAAATTTAAACGAAACTTTTATTTTATTGTAAATTGTGGATTATTTTTGCCTGTTATTTTAAGAATTCTAAACCGTATTAACAAAGAAATTATTATTTCGATATGTTGGTACATCATTTATAATTTATGATAATGCTAATTGTTGTTAATTAATATGTAAAAAAAAGTTACATACCTATTTTAATTTGATTTAATGTAGGTTTATAAAAGAATCACTTCATTCTTAGATTATTTTATTCTAAATTGAGTGCTTACGAATTTTACGGTATTTTTTTTTGAAAACATAAAACTTTTTACATTTTTGATGCTAACTAATTGGCATGGTATTATTGGTATGGGAATTAGCCAAGAGAGAAAAGAATTGGCTATAACTTGTAATTGTTCGAAAGAAAACATATTATACCTATATCGCTGAAAAGCTTAAAGAATGGCGCTTTTTATGAAGTCATGGCCAACTAGGATTTCCATTTAAAATAAACATAATGTTTGTATCATATGTCAAAAATGACAGGCTTTAGAAAAAAAAAACACAAACTCATTAGGTATGTGATTATCTACAACTTTTATCTGAAAACTTTTTGTCTAAAATACCATATGATCGAATAAAAACGGCGTCAGCGTTGGCTATGAAATGACGATCGATGATATTTCCCATATAATTTTACATATAGAATGACAACGATCTTCATTTCATAGCCATCGTTGACTCCGTTTTTATTCGATCATACGGTAGATTATAATGGAATTAGAGACAAGTTTTAAAATAGCCAAAATTTGTGTTTTTCGAAATATCTAGTAAGCCTTGAACTTCTCCGAAAAATCCGAAAGGCGCATATTTATGACCCCACAAAACTGCAATTCTTTCCCCATTTAGCCGACTCTCTATCTCCAGTAGTTTCCGAGATACCCATAGAGAACATCGTAGGAAACTCATCCTGTATAGTATTTAGAAACTAACTATTATTTTTATTTGACTAGATTAATGTGATTAATAAGACTCGATTAATTTAATTTAAAATAAACTTGATCAGATTTTTTTTTCGTATATTCTACTACCAGAACACCAAAATTATATGATAACGCACTTTTCAACGAAGTTGAAGGAATATATAGCGTATCTATCACAATACTTAATAGAATTACTACAATTAGAAGAAAAACAAAAAGAAAAAATACCGAAATACCTTCACCTACTACTCATCTACAAAATAAACTAATATAATCTCTTATAAAAACACTACACAACTACTTCTTGTATTTTACACTGAAAAAATTATAAACTTACTAATTAACCAAACAAAAAGAAGAAATAACCAAATTATCCCTTCACCTACTACTTAACTACAAAATAAATAAACTATGAAAACACTACTAAACTATTTCTGGTATTCTACACTAAACATTATAATTTTGGTAATAATTGTATATTATAGACGATATTTGAGCGAGGATGGGTGTTATAGGGTAAAGACTATCCATTAAGAATCTATTTAAATCAATGTTTTTTTTGGCACTGGCAAATATTGGCAAGATTTTTGTACATATTCCAAAGCTGGAGACTTTAAGCATTGAACGGATACTAATTTCCATGCGGAATATTTCCGAATAGTCTTACACCGTATAAAAATGCCTCTGATTTTTTAAATATAAAACATTATAAAGAAATAGAATAGAAGGAAACGTTTCCAAATAAAAATATGGCATAAAACAGGACTTGCCAGCTGGCTCTGTATCCATCATGACAGTTATTATAAACAATTTGCAAAAAAGCACTATAAACAATTCCACTATTTTATAATCTTAGAAATATTCAGCATACACTCAAGATAATTCATACTTATAATTGAAATATATTATTTATTTGATAGTCAACTTACGACTTAAAAAAAGCTAATAAACGTGCTTACATTTAGTATTTATAGATTTGTATTCAGTTACGATAAAAAATGAAAATAAAAAAAATATCACTTTTGGCCAGGTTTATAGACCAAATACCCCTATGTGCTGCGTTTGAATATGGTTAGGTTAGGTTAGGTTAGGTTAGTTAATCAGGTAAATTTCCTCTTAATTATCTACTTCCGAACCCTTCTCGTATCTCGGAAATAGCCATATACAATACACGTGATGCATATACGCAAAGGTACGCATCTGTGTATTGTTATATGGCTTTTTAGGAGATGCGAGATGCGAGCGATATTTGAAGATGCGAGTGGTCAAGAATAGGTACCCAGAGACGGCGCTGGTTGCCGGAAAGCACCTGCCTCCACTATGTTCGTACCCTTACTAGAGATGGGCAAAAGTAACCGGTTTTTTGAATAACCGGTATTTTCCTCTAAAATAACCGGTTATTTAAAGGTAGTTTTTTTTTCACCAGTTAACCTAATAACCTTGCATTACGTTCAATAACCTATAGCCGGTTATTTTTTAAAAAATCGTACTTGTTTAAAACAAGTATCAATTAAATATTAGCTGTTTGAATCGTAAATTTCGAAGAAGCGAACGGGGCGGATCTTCCAGATATTACGACGATAACGGGAGATCCCGCTCCCGCTCCCAAAACGAAAATATATGACATCAAACATCAAATGTCAAAATTAAATCAGGCATCAGGCGAACCCTGATGATAATAATCAAAACAACGGCCGAATAGCCCTGACAGATCAGGCCGTAAAACAAAGTACTAATGGCATAGACTACTACTAGCCACCAGCTAGCCAAGTGATACGAACCTAACTTCAAACAGATTCTCTAAATTCTATATTTAAATTTTAACCGACTTTAACGGATTTTCAACGGTTCTTCAAAAGTTTTCCATGGTTTCGCCCAGTTTCACCCACGTTTCACCCACGTTTCACCCACGTTTCACCGTAAATATATTTTATTTGTAGTTTGAAGTCTCTCTTGAAGCTTAGACTAAAGAATACAAAATTGAAGTTCAAGTAATGAATGAAGATAATCTTTCATTATCTATTCATTCAGTCTCCTTATTTTTCTTTGGTATTTGATTAAAATAACTTGGTTGTAGATTGTAGAACTTGTGAGTTGTGTGGTTTATTTGAACGTTAAGTAATTACTAGTTTTAATATCATATCCATGTCTACTCAAAAAAGTGAGGTTAGCATTTTTATTTAAATTCATTTTGTACATATACATACTTACATTGCTACAATCTCTATTTAATCATGCGATTTAACTAAGTTTATTATCTAAATTTGAAGTAGACCTAAAGTAGAGGTAAGTAAACCTATAGGAAAACTAAATATTTAGTTTTGCTAGGTTAGGTTATTTGAATAACCGGTTAATTTGTGTCGGTTAATTTTGTCAAGTTATTATTTTTTAAAGATAATTCCGGTTAACCTATAACCGGTTTTTTACCAATAACCGCCCATCTCTAACCCTTACCCTCTGTTGTCGCACGCGTCGCCCGCTCACTTTTGTCTCCCACGTAGGACGAAGCGTTACTCCCAGCGCGCGTCGTTACCACTTTTCGTCACGCTAGCTCACGTGTCATGGCTTTGAATTTTTATCCCAGTGCGCGTAACAAAAAAAAAGATGCTGGTATAGCACACACTAACGTGAGACATGCATTAAAACATTTTTAATAAAATTTATATTTGTACCTCATCCGTGTCAAGTAAAATAATGTATTTATATTCATACATGTGCCTATAAAAACAGTCGTTATATGGTATAAGTTCTTGCTGTCTTTTATGAAACACTTTATTTTTTAAATAGTAGTGCTGAAGAAGTGGTGCGTTAGGTGAAACACCGGCCAAAGATATTGGATTCACCTCAATCTGAAAGAAACAAAGCTGATTCAGCTACTATTTTCTATTTATAAGCAAGTATAATATTTCTCTTCAAAATTAACAAATAAAAATCATATTAATGTTATACTGGAATAATACTAAGGGCTGGCAAAAGTTAGTCTTGGGTCGAGATTTCCGTATGTAAGAAGAGTACAATACGTTTATAATGTACTGAACAAAGAGAAGACTGTAAACACGTTGCCAAACGTATGAAATAAACCGAGAAACTGTGCACATCGCTAAGAGACGTGGAAGGGGATAAGCAGATTTGTCGCAGTTGACCGGTCGACCCAGTCAATACCTCTGTCAGTACTTAAAGTTCTAGGGAAAGGTGTACATCATGCGTTCAGCTTCACGATTTAATTACGTCTCGTGATACTTAATTTGTTTATTTATTAACGAGTCGTTGTAATTTTCGCTATAGCTTGATTTTTTTTAAGTGCAAGCTAGAAACACTTGCATTTTTGGTAAAAATAAGTGGAATTGAGTGGGTGTTCGATAGTGGTCGCGCTATCAGAACTCAAAAATCGATATCTCGATCGATAATCGATATCTTAGTTTTTTTCAAGAACTTTGTTAATATTTCTGCTGTATTTTCTTTGTAGACAGTATGTGAAAATCTTTATCAATAAAAAAATTACACGATTGCTGAAAATTGCTATGTGCTCTAAAAGTAAATGGATGGATTGTTTACAATTTTTGAATGGAAAAAACAACCTTATCGAAGTTTTCTTATGTAAAAATATTGTAAAATATCCGATCTTAAAAATAAAAAAAAGTTTCAATATCTAAATTGGTTCTTGAGTTATGGCCTGTTATGTGTTAAAAAGTTGAGTTTATAAATTATCGCGATTACTGACGTTTTCTCGTTATAAAAAAAATGACACCCTAATGATATCCTTATACTTCCATTTCAGATGCTCAGAAACATGTTTAATGATTGTATCTAGTTATCTCTTGAAAAAATTCTTTTAAAAATAAGCGGTTTGCGATCGTGATTTTATTTTACTTGATAGGGAAAGGCGTATGGCAACGCCGCAACAGCACACCGTCGCGCGTCGCCTCGGTCGGTCACATTTCTCTCACTCCGACTTAATAAGATCCCTATGCGATTTACTTCCACACATGTAAATGCCGACCCAAAAGTAACAGTTGCCAGCACGGTATAATGTAATTCAGGTATGTCTATTTTAATAATAATCAAGGATTATTAACAATGTATGACATTGCGTAGACATTTTATCTTAGTAATTACTTCGTACCTTCCCTTGTTGTTCGTAATAATTCAATATTTTAGTGATGTTCGGGTGTACATTCAATATATAAAAGAACGTTTTATCTGCTCCTAGTAAATGGAGTAGTTCGATCCATTCTGCTAGCTTTACAGACAAATCTGATTTCAAAAAATCCATGCCCTGTAAACACGATAATCAATGTATACTAAAATTACAAATAAAATATACCAATTATAAATAAAATAAATTAGTAAATTTAACATGACAGGGAAATATGGAAAAACAGTTTTTGAAAATGTTATGTCAATGTACAGTGTGTCCCATTTTGGTTGAAATCATAGGGTATCTCCGTTATTAGTGAAGATAGAAGGGTGCGGTTTGCACAAACCTGTCCCACTTTTTCGTCAAACGGAAGATGCTGCAAACAAAATTTTCATAGCCCTCTTCATTTCTGAGCTACAGGGTCTTTTCAAAAATTTTGCAATTTGGGACACCCCTGTATCTCTGTTATTGTTAAAGGTGTCGAGAAGGCGAAAACTGCTTATTGTAGAACTTTTACGTAGAATACAGTGGCGTAGTCTGTTTTCTACCAAAAAATATTTTTGAAAATATGAACTAAAGTTATGTTTTTCAAATGGAACACCCTGTATATTTATAAATCATATGATCTGTCTTGCTACGAGCTTCTCAAAAATATATATCACTCTATATTTATTTTCACTATTTACTGCAATAATTAAAATATATCATTTTTCTTATTAGTAGGCCGTGATAAATAACAAAAAATCAAAATGGTATTTACTAAAATAGTCATACACATATTAAAATTTATTTGGGATTGATATATTTTACTTTTGAAATAACTGTTACCACTGAAACTGTGAATATATTTTTCTTTTTTTTATAACGGGATGGGTTTGCAAATATCTAAATCTTGAATTATTAAAGCATTTTTCAGGTGTTCGACATTGTTGTAGTGCCCACCATATATTTCGTATTTCAAAATCCCCAAAATCAGAAATCGAGAACGGCGAAATCCGGGAATCGAGGAGGCTATCAATATGCGTTCATTGGTTCCAATTCATTGATTTGAAAAATAATAATTTAACAGTATTCTAATATTTCCATAGTTATGAGGGGGAATGTTCCCCATCTTGCTGAAAGTATATTTCACGTAAATTAGCTAAAGGAATATCTAAAATTTCCGATACGATAGATTATTCTTACGTATACACATATTCCAAGATTTACAAATAGCGGTAGAGAGTTAATTTCCCTAATATATAAAGAATTTATTAGCGGCTCCCAAAATAAAACAAAAAACAGATAGCAGTATACTTTTAATAATTCTTTAGTTTGTTTTATTATCAATCATGGCCTACTAATAAATATGATCTTTTAATAAAAACTTTTAAATATTGCAGTAAATAGTGAAAATAAATATAGAGTGATATATATTTTTGAGAAGCTTATGGCAAGACAGATCATATGATTTATAAATATACAGGGTGTTCCATTTAAAAAAACATAACTTTAGTTCATATTTTCAAAAATATTTTTTTGGTAGTAAAACAGACTACGCCACTGTATTCTACGTAAAAAGTTCTACCATAAACAGTTTTCGCCTTCTCGATAGCTTTAACAATAACAGAGATACAGGAGGTGTCCCAAATTGCAAAATTTTCAAAAAGACCCTGTAGCTCGGAAACGAAGAGGGCTATGAAAATTTTGTTTACGGCATCTTCCGTTTGACAAAAAAGTGAGACAGGTTTGTGCAAACAGCGCCCTTCTATCTTCACTAATAACGGAGACACCGTATGATTTCAACCAAAATGTAATGATTTAATAACCAGATTTTCATTATATTGATGAAATTAGATTCATAGTATTAATAAATCGGACATCGATCTATGATTAACAAATCATTATATTAATGAATAAAATCATTGTCCCAATGAAACAACAGTTAATAATCAATGTTCATTAATGCCTACTATGAACAATATTTTTTTCAGTGTAATAGATTTTATACGCCTATATTGGCTTAATGTGACAAGAAACATTTTCTGGTAGTCAGATTTGGACATTTTTTTTCGAAGAAAAAAAATAAAGCTATATTTAGGAATTAAAAAATATAAAAATATAAATTTTACTAACCGACTAACCTTGACGCATACAGCAAAATCTTTCTTCTCTTCTGGTTTATTGTTGTAAACCTTCATATTATTTTTAGCAGTATCACAGTATTTTTCTACTAATGATACCGATTTGGGTACAATATTCTTTACATTTTCGGGTAAAACACAGGCGATTAAGTGAGGTTCAAAAGTACCTTGTTTCTGGACACCCCAATCTAAAAACCTTCCAATAACATTATAAGTTAATCATATTTTGTATAATAATAATTGTAAAATAATAATAGATATAAAACTAAAAAATTAAAGCCTGTAGAAGTCATGGTACAGCAAAATATGAAGCACATACCGGATGTTGCATCGTCGGACGGGACATAGGAAATCCCATGTAAATTTTAATGGGGTCAATTATTGGCTTTCCTAATTATTTTAGAGAATAATTCTATTTAGGTTTATTGAAGAGCACTAAAACCCACATTCAAAAGAATAACTTTAGATATTTTTGATTAGCCCGTTTACGAGTTATCGCCGATTTCTTTTTAAATATTTCTGCTTTCTTATGGCTCTGTATTTATTATGAGCACCAGTCAAGGTTAAAGATAACTGACAAATGAAGTTGTCATTTCAGAAATTTATCTATTCAGTGCTTTATTATTATTATTAAAAACTCATACCTACATCGAAAATATTAGCCATGAATTACATTACCGAAGAAAAAATATTGATGATTAAATGGTATTATCAAGGAAATAGTTATCAAAAGGTGTCGGACATGTTTGCTGCTCTGTATCCGAATAAACCGATACCTGGAAAATCTACAATCGCAAGGAATATCCAGAGATTTGAGACCAAAGGTACCCTAATAAAGAACTACAGATGTGAAGCAAGGCAGGAACAAAGAGAAGATGCAAGAAATGATACCGACTTGGAAGTTTTATTGTGCGTGGAAGAGAACGATGGAAAGATCAGCACAAAAAAAATTGAGGATGAAATAGAAATAGATCACAATACAGCGTTTCGAATTTTGAAACGACATAAATACTATTCCTTCAAATGAAAGCACCAAGAGCTACGAGATGGGGACGAAATACGGCGGCAGGCGCAGGCGTTTTGTTTTGATATGATGGAAAGAGCAAACACGGATAGGGAATTTTTAAAAAACATGTTTCACAGACGAATGCACGTTTACCTTAAATAATGAACCCAATGTTCAAAATTATCCATATTGGAAGAAAGAAAACCAACACAGGTTTGTCTAAACAAGGACGCAATATCCACAGAAAGTAAATGTTTGGGCAGGGATATTCGGACACAATATTATCGGGCCATTATTTCTTACGCGAAGTTTAAATGCAGAATATTATTTGGAACTACTCGAAAATCATATTTTACCTGCTTTACATATTGCTGCTAGGAAAAATCAGGAAATTTGGTACCAAATGGATGGCTGCCCGACACATAGTACCCTGGCTGTTCGGGAATATTTAGACAATAGTTTTAACGGAAACGTTATTGGCCTAAATCATACAGTAAATTGGCCAAATGATTTCTTTCTCTGGGGCCATTTAAAAAACAGGATATACAAGGACTGTAAAAATACCCAAATCTAGACGAGTTAAAAAATGCTATTTCTACTGAATGCAATAGAATTTCAGTTTACCAACTAGAGAATGTAAGAAGAGAATTTTATGATCGCCTGGATTATTGTCTAGCAGTCGATAGAGGAATATCTGAAAATCTTAAATCCTAAAGTTCTAACAATTTAATAGTACCTAAATTAATAAGTTATTTAATATTGTAATAATACTATAACTAACCTTGTAATTGATTACTTTATTTTACTTTAATTCATATTAATTTGTATTTATAAATACATCTTTAAGATTTCTGATGTATGAGAGAATAATAAAGCACTAAATAGGTAAATTTCTGAAATGACAACTTCATTTTACAGTTATCTTTTACCTTGACTGGTGCTCATAAGTAAATACAGGGCCATAAGAAAGGAGAAATATTTAAAAAGAAATCGGAGATAACTCGTAAACGGGCTAATCAAAAATATCTAAAGTTATTCTTTTGAATGTGGGTTTTAGTGCTCTTCAATAAACCTAAATAGAATTATTCTCTAAAATAATTAGAGAAGCCAATAATTGACCCCAATAAAATTTACATGGGATTTCGTATGTCCCGTCCGACGATGCAACACCCGGTATATGGAAATATACATTAGAAGAAATATAATATAATACATTAGCACAAATATCAGCTGAATAAATTTAAATTCTAATGTGAACCTAACTCGTTTATGTACTATTACTTCTGGGATAAATAATTAAGCTAAGCTATACAACTAGTAGGAGCGACTGTATGCACTATTTGTGGTTTATTATCATATATATTATTATTATATTTTATTATATATTTTGAGTGATAAACTTACCAAACAAATCTGTATTCTGTACTCGGTACAATCACAGGTTCGTTCTTGTTTTCAAACCAAAATTGACAATGCGTTTTTACTGTAGTATTCTTCAGATTTATCATACTGAGAATTCGAACAGTTGGTCCTAAAAGGTTTTTTTCCCTGTTATCGAAATAAGCGCCGTATAAATGAAATGTCACATCTTGAGAAGTTCGTAACGTCTGCCAGTAATTATTATTGTATTCGATATCTAATAAACTAGGAAAGCTAGAAAGTAAAATTGTTTTAAAAGGACTTAAATCTGGTTGTTAATCTATATTTTCCTGCAAAATAAAACACTAATTGACTACAAAATAACAAAACACTTTACTTTTTTGCAGAGGACGCGTATTTCGCTAACTATGTTAGCATCATCAGCAGATAATTAAAACATAACTTTTAGTCTTAATCAACTTAGTTTTAATCATCTGCTGATGATGCTAACATGGTTAGCAAAACGCGCGTCCAGTGCAAAAGTAAAGTGTTTTGGTGTATTGTTATGAATTAATGTTTTATTTTGCTGTTCTAACACCAAAGTTTCCAACCTTTAACTGTAATATGTTTTCCTAATCCCACTCAGAGCTGCAAGAAAGCTTTTTATAAGGTCGGCTCTTCATTTAAATCATTTTAATGACTTAAGTCATTTGATTTTAAGTTATTTTTCGAAAGTTATTTAATTATTATTAACGGCCATAAAAATAGATACTTAAATTGAAATTTGGCTGTTTTGACTTGACGGTAATTATTTTGATTGAGTAATTTTGCCGACATAACTCACAGATCAATTAAATTAGATTATATTGATTTCAGTCCTTACAAAAATAAATTGACTTGATGATTTAAGTCAACGACTTCAGATTTAAATCATTTGGAATTTTGAAATTACTTAAGACGAAAAGTTAAAGTCTTTTTCAAACTGACTTGTTGCAGCTCTGATCCCACTTTACCGCATTATTGCATACTTACAGAGCACAAGTTTTATTCATTTTCATAGATTTGTTTTTGTTTCGGTACCAAAATTCGATAGGAAAATTTGATAAACTCTTTTGCATCTCAGCTATAGATTCATCTTCTGAGAGACTTGAAGTTTTATCTACTTTAACTCCATGTTCTTTGTATTGCTTTATTGTCTTTAAGTGTTGGAAATGATTTAATCTAAAAACGGAATACTTACAAATACCTACTTGACTTTCTAAGAATATTATATTCACTTATTTTGTAATGCATCGTATCTGTTTAATCTTTTAAATATTACTGTTTGTTTAATTAAAACACTATGTGCAAACAATAAATATTTGTTTAGTGAAAGTGTTTTTGAATATAGTGCAATTAATAAGAACGAATTGAATCACCAAACATAATAATAATCAAACACTTGAGAATATGTTTTTTTATAAATTACTATAAATATTAAGAGTTACACACAAACACGTTTATATTCTTTTATACTTACTTATCTTTATTGTAATATAGTTTATAGTCGTTGTCTTCACTTGTACCAACAAATATGACAGTTATGTAAATAACTAAACCGCATATCAAAGCTCCACCAAAAATTATCCCCTTTGTATTCGTCATAGTGAAGATTTTACCATGAACATTAGCCGTTTAAAAATTGATTTGTTAAATGGGAATACTTGATGATTACCCGAAAGAACATCGCACCTAGAAAATTGAATAACAGTATGTTAAGCCTCTGATTTGATCATCTGTCAAAATGGGTTTTAGTCATTTAATTAAATAAAGTAAGATCCCAGAGCGATCAGACATAACTTGTTTTCACAAGGATGAAACCTTGGGCTGTCAGTAGTGCTCCCATGTGCTTTGAATACTGGCGTGTTTGTGGGATTCGCCCTGTAACACCTTGGCAGATACTAGGTGAGAAAGGTAACTAAAAGAAGTAAATGAACTTTACTTATTTTTACATGTCTCATTTTTACATATGTTATTAAGACACCTATTATAAAGTTAGATTTAATCAGTCAGTCAAGATTAGTTCTAAAAGTGAAAGCAATACATACTTATGGAGCCGATCGGCCGACTGTTTGATTGCATGTGAGCACGGCTCCATAAGAATAATTATATTGGTTACAAATCTGCAAGTAAAAATACGAGGAATAATTATGTTTTCCATTTTCCGTGTCTACAACATATATTTATTAATCCGGGGTATCTAACTAGCGTGACGTCATAAATCTCGCCCCGAGGCAGTTCTATTAGAGACGGCATTGGTCTGATATTTAGAAATGTCAATAGCTGATGACATTTTACTTTTGTCAGTTATGACATTTCGCGTTGATTTTTGCAAGAAGAGGAAGAACTGTCACTTGTTTTATTATTTTCCTTTTCTATTTCACGAAAGTAAAAAGAGTTACCTATCTGATTCGTTCAGGCACTCATTTTAAAGAATGTCAGTAACTTTTTGGATAGAGGGATTTTATATTTGCCATTTTGGTAAAAAATAACGGTCAAAATTCAAAGTTATTCATTTTATAGACTATATCAATCTAATGGTCCTTGATTCGACTGCTGCCATCATTGGTTAAAATATCTAGGACTATTCAGCATTAAAAGGGCACTTGGGATTAACCTTCGTAAGATGTAGCTCATTGTAGCTCATGTAGCTCATTGGGGAGTGGTGCTAGACTTCTTAGTATAACTACTGACTCATAATAAACTGTGCTTTTCTACTCCCACAAACCAATAGTGGAGATATTCACTTCACTCAATTAATTATTATCTTTTTTTTCGCTACAATAAAACTTCTAACTTATTTTTCAATCAAATCAAATCAATTTCGATAGATTAAAAAAATATATCGATTTATTGAAGTAGGCTGATAAGATAAAAATATCGTAGTTTTATTAAGGTAATGTAATTTTTCTAAATATACGAGTATACCTATTTCCCGAAAGATGTAAACAAAATTGATATTGTCTCTTGGGCAACGGTCCAGCTACGTCGAAACACCGGTTCCCATTAGAACGCAGAAGTTAAGCAACGTAAGGCGATACTAGTGGATGGACGGGTGACCGGTTCGAAACTCTGTATCGTACTGTTGTCCAAAAAAGGCAACAGTGTAAAATCTATTGACATACACTGCTCATTCACGCCGGTTCGAGGCCGGATGAGATCGGATATCTCGTGAGTAAGAGTCGATTTAGACACTCTTGCCAAATCGGTAGGCCATTGACCATGAGATGACCGAGGACCGCTGTTCGGATTCCGCGTAAACAATGTAGGCCCCGTCCAGATTAGCCCTGACAGCAAAAAGGAGACGTTAACTTGAAATCTTTTTTTATATGGTCTCTTTAGTTTCCATTGTACATGCACTACAGGGCTAATTTGAAAATTATTATGATGCAATATTACGACAACCCTCAAATGGCAGAAAATTGTGCAGTTTTTAGATGAAAAATCAACATTTTCAATCCTAAATAACTCGGAAAATATTAATTTTCTGAAAAAATGTTATAGAATATTTTTTGCTTATAATTCATCCGTTCATTGATCTTTCTAATTAAAATGGGTGATTTATTTTTCACCCCCGAAAAGGGGTGGCACTCACCCCCAGGGTGAATGCACACATCGCTACTATGTAAGTTTTGTTTCTTACATATATCTCTATTCACTATTAAAATTTCACGTCAATCAGTGCGGGTGGCAAGAATTCGGAGGTAATACCCTATTTTTATCCTCACTTACTGGCCTATTTGGATTTTTAGAACTTAGAAAAAAAATTAACAATATTTTGATGTTTTTATTAATCTTCCCTAAAACGGTATGGAAATTTGGAAGAAAAGTATAACGGGTTTAACCATTTTATAGAACAAGCTAAAAATTTTATGAAGAATGAGTTTTTTTTCAAAATCTCAATAATATAAAAGGTTTTTTTTCTCTTGTAAAGACAATCTGGGGACATACTGTATATTGATCCTTAATTCGTTTTGATTATTTTATTTTAACCGTAATAAATAAATTAAATACCTACTTACCATCTTAATTAAAATAATTTCGGCGATTATTCTAATTGAACAGCTTATTAAAGATACTGCAACATATTGTAATGTTCTAAAACACACCGTTTTTGTTTTATTTTATTTTTTAGGTTACACGTATATCTATCTTTATGCCTATATCAAGACTATTACTGATCGGGGAAAAAATGTTCTCTGTAGATAAGATAACAATATTATTTATGGTGCCGCGCCGCACCGGTGTTAAGAAAACTGTTTATTAGATTGACACCATTTGAAATTATATTGTATTATCAAAATATTAGATATTATTTACAGATTTATTGCTAAATTACCAAGTCTGGGTGTTGACATGCAATTTCGAGTCGGCCGATTACTTTATTGAAATAGTGAAAATATATAATATATTCACTGATAAAAAAGATAGACTTGAACTAAAGTCGTCATCGTTCTTGAAAAAAAAAATTAGCGGCAAGAGAATTTATTTTAGCGTTTCCCTGAAGAAAAACTTTCTTAACTCAAGAAAACTTGTTCTCTTGAAAAATTTCTCTTGAATCTATTTTCATTCAACCAAGTGCAAGTTACTTTATTTTAAGATAATAACAAAAATACGCTAGGAAGTACTTCATTCAAGAAACATGGCCATTTTTCCAATAGCTAAATACTCTTTTGATGAAAAAAATAACGACACGCAAAGACGATGACGAAGGATGGTATATACAATCAGTCGGCAGTCCGATCAGTCTCACGTCGCATTTTATAGGTCGCACATCATATTACGCACGGGTTTTGTTGCTTGGAATTTTCCACTTGGAATTCTGCATAATTTTCTTTTTAAACGCATATTGTATAACAAATTAGTGGTTGTTATTAACATGCATTTGTCATTTTTTATGGACACATTTTAGGATATATGGATTCTTTAAAGGACTTTCTGAAAAAATGGAAATTAGAGCATTTATTTGCTTTATTTGAAGGTAAGAGACATTTACCTAATGCACCTGTTTAGATAATGCATGCCTGACTATAGATAGAATAAGTATATAGATATCGATTTTTTTATGCAAACAATTACAAAAATTTTAGAATTTCAAGTCGTCGTATTAAAAAATTCAAAATGTGACCAAAGCTTATAATTTTAATAATTTGTTTGCTTTACTTTGATTAATCGTGATGTAACATTTTTTTGTAATTTGTAGAGTGATGAACCACCCCAAAAAATACCAAGGAGTGAAGAAGCAGAAATAACTACCTTCTATCGAGGAAAATAATATCACTTTACTTACTACAGACTAGGAAAACCTAAATTTATCAGAAAATAATATACCTCGTAATATGCCTGTATATGATGTATAGACTAATCTTAGATCAAAATAAATTTTAGTTAAGTCAATGGTATTCGCTATTGGTTTAAGAAAAGTGTCTCTTTAATCAAGAAATGTCCCTGTTCAATCAAGAATTTTTGCATGAATCAAAGAGACTATTGTTCTTGTAGCAAGAACTTCTTTGCATATTAATTTTGGGTCAAGAGTGAAATACTTTGGACAGATAGATCTATTGAAGAGCGTCAATCTTTTGGGTCAAAGTCATATTCATTTCGACTGAGAGATCCTTTTTTCAGTGTTCTTATGGAGACCATTGGCCGACTATTTGATTGCGTATCTGAGCAGCTTCATAATAGAACCGGTCGAACACTTCAAAATCTGTGTGATTTTAGAAGAGGGCCCATTTTTTATGATTCTAAATAATTTTTAAGATGTTAACGTTAAAATTAAGCGTGGAAGTCACTACGAAAATTTTGGCGTTTGGTCGCTACATTAAATTATACCAGCCGGAAAAAAAATAAATGTGTAAATAAAAATAAGATTTTCTTCTCGGAAACGATAAGTGGATAGTAACGGTAAGTAGTGGTTTGGCTCGTATTGGCCCCATTTAAACTGTGTTCCGAAAATAGATCGACCGAGAACGTAGCACAAGGGAACTATCGTCGCGGTCCTCACTGTGCCATAGTCATCCCGTGCTACAGTTGCAGCCAAAACTGTGCGGCAGCGTAACCGTTACATTTAAACCTTTTCACGCAGCTAACACACATCAATGATGAAATATTCGAGTGGGAAAAAAGCATCATCCGGAGGTAAAATAGCCCCTCAATCGGATGTCCGGGATGGGGTGCCTACTTGAGCGTATCATCGGGGGAAACAAAAAACATCAATGTTTCACGTTTGTGGCGTGGAACGTCTGCACTCTACTGTACAAGATAAATTCAAATCGACCAAAGAGAAGAACAGCACTGGTTTCACAGGGACTCCACCGACTAGATATAGATGTTGCCGCTCTTAGCGAAACAGTAGTCTCACTTTTAGCGAGGGTAGTCTCACTGAGGAGCATTACACCTTCTTTTGGAAAGGTCACCCCGCAACACACAGGAGAATTCATGGCGTAGGCATTGCAATCAAAAACGAAATTGTCACCAAATTAACAGAAGTACCTGTTGGTGTCTCTGAACGTTTTATGACCCCATACAAGGTACCCCATACAAGACAAAACTTACGTCAACATCATTAGTGTCTACACTCCCACCCTAGACGCTAAAATTGAGGATAAGGTTAATTTTACCAAGCTCTACAAAATGCTCTCCAACGCATTCCAAAGCACGAACGAATCATTTTGCTAGGTGACTTTAATGCTCGTGTCGGTAAACAACAGGAAATAGGGGCTGACGTATTGGGAAAACATGGAATGGGAAACGTAAATAGCAATGGTGAACGCTTATTAACAACATGCACAGAGTATAATCTATGCATCACCGATACGTGGTTCATGTTGAAGAACAACATGTTTTCAGCTACCTTTACCTGAAAACATCCCAGATCTCAGGTCACTGGCATTTATTGGACCACGTAATCGTTTGAAGAGCGCTTCTAAAACATGTCAGACACACAAAAGCCAGAATAGATGCCGAATGAAAATCCAGTTAAAATCCAAAAATCCACACTGTAAAAAGCAAAACAACATGACCAAATTGAACGTACGGGGTCTAGAAACCAAAAATGCCGCCGACGCCTTTCGGGAAGCCATCAAAGAATCACTTCCACCGATAACATCTATCTCAATCTTGGAAGCTGAACAAGGCTGGACACAATTAAGGGATGCGATTCATAAAACTAGCGAAGCAGTACTGGGAAAGTCCAACACAAAGAAACAACCAGACTGGTTTAATGCCAATCCACACAATCCAAGGCTGGTAGACAACTTTAAAGCAGCCAACAACACGTTTCGAAGAAATCTGCGCCAATTAAAAGATAACTGGTGGTCGGAAAAGGCTAATCAGATTCAAGAATTCAGAAGCCACGCATTACGATTATCGTAAATTCTTCGAGGTTGTAAAAGAAGTATACGGTCCAACTAAAAAGGTAAGCTGCCCAATCATGGCACAAAATGGCGAAATTCTAAAAGAGGAAGAACAAATTAGAAACCGCTGAGTGGGGAGAAGCAGCTCACAATAGAACTCAATGGAGAAGAATTTTAAACTCAGTTAACAGCGACAACCAAAAAGTAAAGAGTCTTACCAAAAAGTATAAGAGAAAAATCTTTTCAGTCACAGAAAAGCTCATAGAAAGAAAACGCCTTGCGTGACCATCTTGATTTTCTGATGCGTGTCAAATACTCGTCAGCGAGTAATGGCAGTATGTATGTATGTATGTTTCGAAAATGCACAGTTTCCGAGATATTTAATTTGAAAGATCGGGTGAAAATGTAAGTTTAATATCTAATAAAAATATCTTACTTTAATTTTTGTTGATCGAAATTGATTTCTGAAAATTCGACTTTTCAAGTGGAGAAAGATACGTCTAAATATTTTTCGATACCGTTTGATAGAGAGTTATCCCGTGGTCTAAAAGGAATTTTTAAGAATGTCAATTATAAACTTGTGTATAGTGCTAATAATAAATTACAACAATTATTAGGTAATCCAAAGGATAAAACACCTCCACTGGAAAGGTCAGGTATTTATGAAATTTCTTGTAAAGATTGTAATCAGAAATATGTTGGGCAAACTAGAAGATCAATATTAACTAGATTTAAAGAACATTTAGTTCAGATAAGATACGGTAGACCGGATAAATCTTGCGTTGCCGAACATATTGTTGATAAAGAACATTGTATAGATCTTAATAATTTAAAATTAATTAAACAATTTTCAAATTACAGGCAATTAGATGCATATGAAAGCATCAGAATTAATAAATGTAAAGATAGTATGAACAGAGACAACGGTCCAATTCCTTCAAGTTCTTTGTTCCTACTACTCTAGTGGCGGAAATCTAACTGTTACGCTCAGTGGGCTCTGACTCGGTTGGCTAGATTTTGCCACGCCCACTCAGTGCGTACTGAGCGAGTATATAAACGCTCAACTTGTAGATTATACTTTAGTTTATAATCATCTGCTGATGATGCTAACATGATTAGCGAAACGCGCGTCCAGTGTAAAAGTAAAAGTGTTTTGGTGTATTGTGGTGATTTAGTGTTTTTATTTTGCTATGCACATTACCTTCCCACATATCCCCATAAAATATTTTGTTTCTACATCTTCTTATTTTCGTACAATCAACCGAGGCGAATGAGGTGCGCCACCCTGTATATTCAACGTATACATGTAACGAAGATTTGTTAGATTACTATGGATACTCGGATTGGCGCATCTTTCTAATGGACTACCGATTATCCCAATTGCCGTATTTCGAAGATAAGGCGTAAACTTTTTCGAGAGGCTTCGAAAGTTTTGGAACACCATTAACACCCTCCAGGAATTCCACCTTAAAACAAATTTAATTACTACAGGGTTGGAAATAGGAAATAAGTTATCTAGTCCGCTTAGGAAAAAAGTTTTTCATTTGATTTTCGCTAGAAAGGTAACTCCCGTATAACCAAACAGTATAGAACCTCTATCGAGCTTATATTAAAATCTTTAGTTGATAAAGGCAGCCTTTATTCTTAATACAGTCTAGCCTGTACTGAATAAAGTTGGCCTGTATTGATACTTTACCGCCACTATACATTCTGGATTTAGAATGAATAAAGTTAATTTGTCGATTCGTTATTGTATCGATATAGATACTGACGGCGTCCTTTACAAAATATATGTATTAAAATCTATAGAAAGTTTTTCTTGTTACCTGAATTAGAAAAGTTATGTTTAAGTAAATTCTTAAACATAT